CTCTTTCTTGAGTCTCAATATCTTTTTTTTTCCATCATGGAGACTAAAATTAGATGCAGTATTCCAAGTGTGGCATTATAAAGTGGTATTAACACTTCACGTGATGTTCCTTTTATCCGTCTGTTTATGCAGCCTAGAACTGTGTTGGCACATGAATTGAGGAACTGTTCATTTTGAGGCCAAAGAGCTGACCAAACACTGTCTGGGAAGGCTACTCAGTTTGGGAAAGCTTATCAGTCATAATTCCATCCTAGTCCATGTTAGGAAAAGCTTCCATTCATGGATTCTAAAATAAATATGAGCGCATTGAAGAAATTGAAGCATGTTAAAATTAAATCAGCACCACAGATGGCATTGCAGACGGCTAGAAGACAAGTTTAGAAGCCACGTGTTACTTCTTTGGGTCCAGGGTTATCCAAATCATTAATGGAAAAATTACAGTTCATTAAAGCTGGTTAAACTATTCATAATGATACACCAAGTTTCTACCAGCTGAACAACTTGAATCAAGTCATTGCTAAAGATGAGTGCAATTATCATTTTAAACTTAACTTTCCTATTTAGATCTCACACACCTGTGTTGTGTATAGCTTCCATAACGTGTGAGCCTTGGCAATGATCATGCTTGCTGAGGAACGGGTTCAGATTGCAAAAGGAATCAGATTACATGGATTCCTGGAAAGGAATCAGATTACAAAAGATCATCATATCCTCAAAGTCTCTTAAACCTTGAGGGGCCAAATTTAATAGACTGGGACTCAATAGCACACTTCTTTGGTGGGACTTACATATCATGTTAAACTATGGATTGTTGAACTCTGGTTTACTAAATAAGCAACGGTGCATTGTATTAATGCCAAAAAATTAAACAGACTGGATAATAAGTCATAAATCATGAGTCCCTGCATGCCCGCAAGATCTCTAAGTACAGCCCATCTTGAATTCATTTCTTAACTTCCACACATTTCCCTTAATGGTTACTTGGTCAGAGTAATGTCAAGCACCAGGGGAAATCAAGAGATTCAGGTAGTTCAAATGAATATAATAAAAGATTTATTGCAAGTTTAAGTTCTCTACAAGAATCTGGCCAACTGATAGTTAAAGGAATCATGAGAATGAAGAAAGGAATTCATTCCTTACCAATTAACTGTTAACCCCAGGAAAAACTAAAGTTCCTGCAACCCACGTCTACGGGATAGACTCCATGCTTTGCACCATTATCCCATTTGCAACCATGCCACCCCCATTTTAAATATAGCCACGGGTTTCTTTTGTGGTGGTGGTGGGGTTCGACTCACAAAACATATACAAGTAGTCCTCAACTTATGACCATAATTGGGACCAGATTCATCATCAAGCATTGTGATGTGTGAAGCATTGCCTAACTACACCTGATTTTATGACTTTTGCTACAATTGTTAAACGAGATATCATGTTATCATGATTTTGTGATCTTTCCTGCTGACTTCCCCATTGATTTTGCTTGTTGGAAGCTGGCTGGGAAGTTCACCTGTAATGATCACATGATCCAGGATGTTGCAACCATCATAAATACAAATTGGTTGCCAAGCACCTAGATCACGGCCATGTGACTGAAGGGATACCACGATGCTTCTTAGGATCAGTTGTAAGTCACTGTTTTCAGCAATGTCATAATTTTGAACAGTCACTAAACAAATGGTCATAAGTGGAGGATTACCTATGATTATGACATACGTTCCACCCTTGCACCATGCTTAAGTATTTCAAAGGTGGGCTTGCATAAGTTCACAACACATATTTTCTTAGTGCTCTCTGAGCTTGCTCGTTTTCTTGTAGATGCTTCATTCACCAAACTAGGTAATATCCTCAGTGCTAGTAAGGAGTGCTGTTTGCTGTCCATTTATATCTGGTGTCTTGCCTGTCTGTGTGGGCAGGAAGTGATCTGGTTGGGCTGTTTACTGATGGCTCTTTGCCAGTTTCTTGATTGGAGTATTGCTTATTTGATTGTTGGTCTGAAGTTAACCTTGGAGTTAATCTATCTGGATCTGGTTGCTGGTTACTGGTGGTGAAGTGCTGAAGTCCTTTTGTTCTAGAAACCTGGCACTCTGACAAATCAGCCATCAATAGACACATAGACTTTAATAGCATAGCTCTCTGCTATGACCTGTCCGTCTTAGGTGGCCCTGCACGGCATAGCTCATAGCTTCATTGAGCTATGCAAGCCCCTTCACCGGGACAAGGCAGTACTTCATGAAGGAGCAGCAACATCTATAGACTACGCAAAAGAGACAATCAACCAAGACCAAAAGAGAACAAAAAGACTCTAGCACTTCTCCACCAGTAATCAGCAACCAGATCAGCATAGATTAACTCCAAGGTTAACTTTAGACCAACAATCAAGTAAACAATACCCCAATCAAGGAACTGCCAAAGAGCTATCAGTAAAAGCCCAACCAAAGAATCATTTAAGACTGTCCCCCCCCCCCCCACACACACACGACAGGCAAGTCACCAGAATATAAACTGACAGCAAACTGCACTCTTTACTACCATTGATGAAGTTATGTAGTTAGGCAGTGGTGGGAATTCAAAAAAAAAATTACTACCAGTTCTGTGGGCATGGCTTGGTGGGTGTGTCAGGGGAAGGATACTATAAAATCTCCATTCCCACCCCATTCCAGGGGGAAGATTACTGCAAAATCCCATTCCCTCCCCACCCCACTAACCTACTTTCCAGTTCCATTCTCCTGTGCAGGGCAACCAAAGGAGACCCAGCCAATCAGCTGGGACTCGGGAGGCAGAGAATAGATGGGGGTGGGGCCAGTCAGAGGTGGTATTGCCGGTTCTCCAAACCACTCAAAATTTCCGCTGCCGGTTCTCCAGAACTGGTCAGAACCTGCTGAATACCACCTCTGTAGTTAGGGCAATGAAATGTCTGCAAAAAAACATGCAAGCTCAGATAATCTCATTTCAACCTTGAGCTACAAATATTGACCTTTATTGGTACATGTTTTCTCATTTTGATAAAATCTTTGCTTCCTACCAATAGCACTAAATACAGCTGCATTACCTCCAAAGATTTTCCAAGTCTAAACAAGCAAAATATTGTAATATTTTCAGCTGCGCTTTCTTTCTAAATGACATAGCCCACAGCCTAGAACCTGAATGAGGCCAAGCAGATGGCGAAAGACGATTGCTAGAGCAGACGAGATCCTGCTCTATGAACTGAAATTGAGGATTAAGAACAATTGTCCTACAAAACACACTGCAGCATCTGATTTGCTGAAAGTGTGCTCTGCGTGGATTAAAAATATATATTAATAAATGCTAAACTTATATCAATAGAAAAGTATCCACATTTAGCATGTCTTAGACGTTAGTCCAAAAATCCTAATGGGGGAATTGTAGCAATAGCACTTAGACTTATATACCACTTCACAGTGCTTTTACAGCCCTCTCTAAGCGGTTTACAGAGTCAGCCTATTGCTCCCAACAATCTGGGTCCTCATTTCACAACCTCGGAAGAATGGAAGACTGAGTCAACCTTCAGCCTGGTGTGATTCGAACTGCCAAATTGCAGGCAGCCAATAGTCAGCAGAAGTAGCCTTCACTACTGCATTTTAAGATTTCAAGCCAAAATGAGGGTCATAAAATCTAGAAAGAAAATTTCCATTACAAAACTGGACTCACTCCATGCCATACAACATCCCCATGATTGAATTCATTTATGTATATGGAAACATTAAAGAAAGTGTCATATGAAAAAGGAGTGAACAGTTAAAGGGTAAAAAAAAAAAAAGGTTTGGGGTTGTAATTTTTGCTGGATTTGGAATTTATATTGTTTATAATTTGAAATGTACAATAATTAATTCTCTTTAAAATTACATGCTACATTTTAAGATAATTTTCAGTGCAGCGGCATTAAATGCTATTGCATATGTCTATGGAGATTCATGGTTGCCCCAAAAGTGCTTTTTCAAAAGGCAACTGGACTTTCTTTGTTTTTATTTGAAGATGCTTCGCTTCTCATCCAGGAAACTTCTTCAGTTCTGACTGGATGGTGGGGAATGGAAGGATTTATACTCCTTGCAGACCGCTGGTCATTTGCATTTTTTTTAGAGTCATTGAGGCCATTTGGAGGTTTCTTCAGACAGAGCTGAAGAAGCTTCTTGGATGAGACGCGAAACATCTTCAAGTCCAGTTGCCTCTTGAAAAAGCACCTTTGGGACTATTGCACATGGTAATTTCACTTTGGGACTATTGTACAGATATATTTCACACTGAAATATATCTGAAAATGATTTCTTTAAAACACAGTTGGATGAACATTTATACCAGAGGCAGATGCCTTGCACTTTCTCGATGGAGATTCTCAGTCATCCAGGTTGTTGTCTCAAACATGGTTTAACATCCAGTCTCAACAGTCAGAATCTATCCTTCCATCCCCCTCACACCACCCAGTCACAACTTTCCAATAGATACTGATCAACCCCAAGGATAGGCGAGTTATGTCTACAACAGCTGGGAACCACATTTTCCAGTTCACATGGTCAACACTTTTACATATTTCCTGTAAGAAATTTAAATTCCAGAAACCTCAAAATACGATGTTTTTATTTTTGCCACAGTGCAATTCTGTCCATCCTTCACAAGTCTACTGCACAACAGTATAACAATTGAGGGTACTGAAACGGAGAAAACCATTGATGTTCAGTTTTATTTGTGGAAAAATTAGTCACCTCTTTGTTCTAAAAAAGAGATCTCCAAACTTGGCAACTTTAAGACTTGTGGACTTGTGAATTCCCCAGCTAGATGTATTGGCTGGGGAATTCTGGGAGTTGAAGTCCACAAGTCTTAAAGTTGCCAAGTTTGAAGAGTCCTATCAAATGATGATCTGTTTTGTCCCTCTCTTTTTGGAGCCCCAATATCTGAATTGCCGAGAAAGTTTATCATACAAAAAAGCAGTAAATCTATTCTCTCACCAGCCCCACTTCCCACCTCTTGTCTTATTGACTTACTTGGATAACTTCATTTCTATTTGTTGCCGGATCTCCTGCCTCTCTTCGTCAGTCCTTCTTGGGAAAATGTTCCTATCTTCCAACTCCTGTTTGCTTGGCCTGTTCCGCAGTTTCACTGCCAGAAGCTCTTTCTTGCATTTTCTTGGCAACGTACCTGGAGCGTGCAATGAAAGACAATGGGAATGTGTCAAGGAGATGAGCCCTAAAATAGCAAAGTATATCTTGTGATTAATATATATAAGGTGCGGCTACTAGAAATATCTTCTGCTAATGGGTCTATGTAGGAAGAACGGGGGTTAATCACAAAGGAGATATAGTTAGTCCTTCACTTATGTCAAGTAGGACCAGAAGTTCCATTGTTAAGCAAGGCAGATGTTCAGTTACATCTGATTTTACAACCTTTTTGCCCTGGTTGTTAAGTGAATCACTACAGTTGTTAAGTGAATCATTGGTCATTAAGCAAATTTGGCTTCCTCCATCTGTCCATGTCCACATCTTTCTCCTTCTGTCCTGGTCAATTTTAACAGAGGCACGACTGAGAGTGCATCACTGTTTGGTGGCAGCAGTGCCTCAGATAGAAAGTCCATACAGAGAGTGGTGAGGACAGCTGAGAAAATTATAGGAAGCTCGCTTCCTGTTATTCAGGATACTGCTTATAAGTGCTATGTGCTTAGAGTTCAAGGGATTGTTAGATTGTTCCCCTCTGGGAAGAGATTTTGAAGTATTTCTAGCAGGACTACCAGATTCTGTAACAGCTTTGTTCCCTATGCCATTCGTCTGATAAACTCTCAAGATTTGTTTTCCTTGCCATGTACATGTTTACATCCAAACTGAGCCATAGTGGAGCAGTGGTTAGAGTGCAGTACTGCAGGCTACTTCTGTTGACTATCGGCTGCCTGCAATTTGGCAGTTCAAATCTCACCAGGCTCAAGTTTGACTCAGCCTTCCATCCTTCGGAAGTGGGTAAAACAAGGACCCAAATTGTTGGGGGCAATTATGCTGACTTTGTAAACCACTTGGAGAGGGTTGTAAAGCACTGTGAAGCGGTGTATAAGTCTAAGTGCTGTTGCTATTGCTATGCTGTGTCGTTTCTCTGTGTCATATAATATATGTGGGTATATGCATAATTTTGTATTTATTTTGTGTATTGGATATGATGACCCTTTGAGAGCTGTAGGCAATGAAAGTTCATTTTATAAATAAATTTTATTGATTTTACAATTAAAACAAACCGACAACACATACACACAAAAAAGAGAGAAAAAAGGGAGAAGAAAATAGAAAGAAAAAATAGAAAACAATTAAAAACATTTTAATGTATGCTGATTAGTTCATTTTAATGTATGCTGATTAATGTACATTCAAATAAAGTTATTATTCCATTCCATTCTATTCCATTCCATTTGTCAGAAGCCAACTGAGAAAGTCACAAATAGAATAGAAAGTGTGATTGGACACACAAGGAATTTGTCTTTGGTGCATAAGCTCTCAATGTACATAAAGAAAAAATAAAATACCTTCATCAAGAATCATAAGATGCAACAGTGATAGTCATAGGTTACTAATAAGCAATCAAATCATACTAGGGAACAAATAAAACAATATAAATTGTAAAGATACAAGCAACATGGTTATAGTTATAAGTTGGAAGAGATAGGTAATAGGAAGGATGAGAAGAATAATAGTAATATAGTCTTACTAAATAGTTTGACAGTGTTGTGGGAATTAATTGTTTAGCAGAGTGATGGCATTTGGGGAAAAACTGTCCTTGTGTCTAATTGTTCTGGTGTGCAGTGACCTATAGCGTCATTTTGAAGGTAGGAGTTGAAACAATTTAGATATTTTCATATCCCTCTTTTTGACTCTTGCAGTATACAGGTCTTCGATGGAAGGCAGGTTTGTAGCATAAACCAAAAATGGCGATCATAGGAGGCTGTAACCATTGTAAATATGTGCTGGTTGCCAAATGCCTGAATTTTGAACATGTGAATGTGGGGATAGTTGTAAGCATGACAATAGGTCATGTCTTTTTTTAAAAAATTGCCATTCTAATTTCAAATGTTGTTAAACAAATGACTGTAAGCCAAGGACTACTTGTATTAATGCTGAAATGCAGATCAGAAGCCTCAGTGATTCAGATAATTTCTCTACTTGGCACACTATACTTCAAGTCAGGTTACATTTTTGCAGAGACAATCCTCCTATTTAGGATTTAAATTTAAAGTACATTTTTTAAAATTTTTGAATCAGTCTGAACTCGGGGAATATTTCCAAAATCTGTAGCTGAACTTTCCTGAATTATTTCCAGGTTACTAGCTCCTTTTCTTTGACAGAAATCCCGTGCAACTTTATTGTAGAATAAGTTCTACATTTCACAACATGTGAGAGCATTGGGTGAGCTTAGAGCAATTTTAGTAAGTGATTTTTGGTTGTGTATTTAAATGATTCACCTGTTTTTTTCCTTCATTCTGATACGTGAATTTCTGTTGTTTAAAAAGGATGGAATCATTTTATAATACATCCCAGCCAAGATGATTTATTTCCAAAACAAAAGGATTATGTATTATTAAAAGTATTAGGATGAGAAAGAGAATGACTTGGTGTCACAGAGGAAATTTCCACAGTTGAAGGTGGGCTCTATCTTGGATTTTCCCAACACAAATACAACTTTTTCACCACGATACCACAGATACCCTTAGGGTCCTTTTCCATTTTATTAGCAAGTCATTGAGAATTGAGTTCATTTCAAGGGAAACTTTGAAAAAAATCAATCCTTATTAGTTTTTCCACCCGTGGAAGGAAGGAGGGATGAATTTGCTGGGAAAAAATGAAATTGGAAATAAAGCTGGAATGGGAGGGCCTGAAGTAAAAGAGAAATTTTGTGAGTTGCTCCAAGAATTTTGTATTTTGTTCCAGTTAAAAGATAAAGGCAAAGGTTCCCTTTGCACATAGGTGCTAGTCGTTTCCAGCTCTAGGGAGTGGTGCTCATCTCCATTACAAAGCCAAAGAGCCAGCGTTGTCCGAAGACATCTCTGTGGCCATGTGGCCAGCATGACTAAATGCCAAAGGAGCACTGAACTCTGTTACCTTCCCACCAAAATGGTCCCTATTTTTCTACTTGCATTTTTACATGCTTTTGAACTGCTAGGTTGGCAGAAGCTGGGGCAAGTAACGGGAGCTCACTCCATTATGTGGTGCTAGGGATTCAAACCGCCAAACTGCCAACCTTTCTGATTGACAAACTCAGTGTCTTAGCCACTGAGCCACCAGTGCTTGCAAATTCCAGTTTCTTGTTCCTTTACTTATTCTAGTTACTTGTTCCCTTACTTGCTCCAGTTACTATCCCCATAATTGCAATTATACAAATACTCCGATAATCAATATGACTACTAAACACAAGAGGGCCAAGTCTCTGTTTTAGATATAGAGACACACAAACACACAAACACTGAAAAAAAAATATACACTGCAAAAATCTTTCTAGATGGATTCATGGGAATCCCACATCTTTACATCACTTCTTTAAAATGCCAGAGAGCTTTCTCGTTCATTGTTCAATGAATCTAGCGCCACCCAGTGCCCAAAATGAAAAACATTCCTCCTACTGGAAAAACAGCAGAATAACAGGATACAGGTAGTCCTTGATTTATGACCACAATGAAGCCCAAAATTTTTGTAAAGTGAGTTTTGCCCCATTTTATGACTTTTCTTGCCGCAGTGAATTGCTGCAGTTGACAAGTTAGTAACCTGGTTAAGTGAACCTGGCTTCCTCATTGACTTAGCTTGTCAGAAATTCGCAAAAGGGGAACACAGGAGCCTAGGGCACAGCAGAGGTCATAAATACGAACCAGTTGCCAAGCATCGAATTTTGATCACATGATGCTTCAAAGGTCGTAACTATTAAAAATGGTCATAAGTCACATTTTTCAGTGCCATTGTAACTTTACACAATTACTAAATGAATTGTTGTAAGTTGAGAACTACTCTAATAGAATAACAGAGTTGGAAGGGACCTTGGAGGTCTTCTAGTCCAGCCCCCTGGTCAAGCAGGAGACCCTATAACATTCCAGACAAATGGCTGTCCAGTCTCTTCTTAAAGCCTCCAGTGATGGAGCACCAACAACTATTGAAGACAAGCCGTTCCACTGGTTAATTGTTTTAAATGTCAGGAAATTTCTCCCTAGTTCTAGGTTGCTTTTCTCCTTGATTAGTTTCCATTCATTGTTTCTTCTCTTGCCTTTTGGTGTTTTGGAAAATAGTTGACCCCCTCTTCTTTGTGGCAGCCCCTCAAATATTGGAAGGCTGCTGTCAGGTCACCCCAGTCCTTCTTTTCACTAGACTTGTTGTTAGTTGCGGAGTCGTGTCTGACCCATCGCAACCCCATGGACAACGTTCCTCCAGGCCTTCCTGTCCTCTATCATCTTCTGGAGTCCATTTAAGCTCACACCTACTGTCAGTGACTCCATCCAGCCACCTCATTCTCTGTCGTCCCCTTCTTCTTTTATTGCCCCCAATCATTCCCAGCATTAGACTCTTCTCCAGTGAGTCCTTCCTTCTCATGAGGTAGCCAAAGTATTTGAGTTTCATCTTCAGGATCTGGCCTTCTAAAGATCAGTCAGGGTTGATCTCCTCTAGGACTGACCGGGTTGATCTCCTCTAGGACTGACGTTTTGATCGCCTTGCAGTCCAAGGGACTCGCAGGAGTCTTCTCCAGCACCATAGTTCAAAGGCCTCAATTCTTTGGCACTCAGCCTTTCTTATGGTCCAACTTTCACAGCCATACATTGCAACTGGTAAAACCAAAGCCTTGACTATACACACTTTTGTTGGCAGGGTGATGTCTCTGCTTTTTAGTACGCTGTCTAGATTTGCCATCGCTTTCCTCCCCAGGAGCAAGCATCTTTTAATTTCTTGGCTGCCGGTCCCCATCTGCGGTGATCTTGGAGCCCAGGAAAATAAAATCTGTCACTACCTCCATTTCTTCCCCATCTATTTGCCAGGAATTGAGAGGGCTGGATGCCATGATCTTTGTTTACTAGACATACCCAATTCTTGCAACCATAAAATAATATAATTGGTAGCAAAATATGAAAGTTGTAATCCAAGATACTACGGAGATATCATTATCTCCCTTATGACTGCTGTGGTTTGACAATGAAAGCCTGGGCCTCTTAGCTGAAGTAATCAACAGGAATCCCAAATGTACAATAAAAAAAGATGTATTCATACTTACCACTAAATTAAAAAGACCCTTTGACCACTTCCATATAGTTTTGTAGGGTTCAGTGAAACAACCCTTGGTAGGGTGGCTGGTTTAAAAAATGTAGCTCTCATATAATCATTGATCCTGATAAATTTCCAGCAGGTTTACATTTATTGTCTTAAGCAGATTGCTTTTATCTGTGGGGGCTGCATACTAAGCTGCTGTATATTCCAAAGGTGTTTTTTTTCCCGAAAAGACAACCGGACTTCCTTGGTTTTTCCTTTGAAAACATTTCACTTTTCATTTAAGAAGCTTCTTCAGCTCTAACTGAAGGCCAAGGCCCATTTGTATTGTTTTTTTTACTGCTCTTCCTCCTTTCTTACATCTCTTTCCTTTCTTCCTTCCTACTCAGATAAGACATTTTTTTGCTAGCAAAGTGTCAGGCACAAAGGATCAGGATCACTGGTTCAGTTGTAGCTCAGAAAGATGTATTGCTCATGCCTGTACAAAAGAATCTAGTCAAATAGTGGTCAGCACTAAATTGGCATCTAGACAAGGATCAACAGAATTCAAGAGGAATGGATTGGCTCTCTTACAAGGACTCTAAACTGAGGATACGTTTAACTCCACCCTCCAGCTCTGCCAGCCCTTCTCCTGCAGTAAGTATTGTTTTCTGTTTCCAGAGGTCAACTGTTTGAAATTAGGCTAAAGTCTAAAGTGAGTCAGGGTGGTGCAGTGGCAGAGTGCAGTACTGCAGCCTACTTCTGCTGACTGCCAGCTTTCTGCAATTTGGCAGTTCAACTCTCACCAGGCTCAAGGTTGACTCAGCCTTCCATCCTTCCGAGGTGGGTAAAATGAGGACCCAAATTGTTGGGGGCAATAAGCTGACACTATAAAACGCTTAGAGGGGGCTGTAGAACACTGTGAAGCAGTACATAAGTCTAAGTGCTATTGCTATTGCTATATGCTCCTATGTCTGCAAATTGCATGATCTTCTCTTCAAATGTAACTGAACTAGAAAGCAAAAATAAACTATGAAGAAAGGAAAAACAAAAGAAAATAAAAAGAATGAGAAAGCAGCAGGTAGCCATTAATGGGTGAGAAAAATGGAAGAAGATAAAAGAACTTGGAAAGGGAATTTTGGTCGTTGCCCTTTCAAGACTGAATGAAGCATCCACATGAAATATCGAAGGGCTAGATGGAGATGTAAGGTGGAAGGAATTAAAAAAGAAAAGTGATTGTTCATGTTTGCTCTTCCTCTGAAAATAGAAATTAAGTTTGGATAGTTCCTAGGTGGAAGAAATTCCAGTGGGAGCAAAGGAGCTCCCTCACATGTGAGCATCAGAAAAATGATTGGATTTAACACTGAAAGATGAGCTAAGCAAGAATCAGAGGTCTAGGGCAAAATGGAAATCACAAGAAGGCAATCACGAACAAAAAAAAAGTGGTCAAACAAAATGAGACTGAATAGAATCCTTTAGAGAGGACAATGAATAAATACTGTTCAAGTTTGTTAAAGACTGGACTTCTAAGTTAGGAGAAGCAATGGAAGAGAGTTGGAAGAGACATCATTGAGATGTCAAGAGCCAATATGGTGTGGTGGTTAAAACACCATGGTAGAGACTATGGATTGTAGTCCTGTCTTAGGCATGAAAGCCAGCTGGGTGACTTTGGGCCAATCACCAGGAGACAATGTGTTCTAGTCCC